ATGGCAACGCGACTTCACAAACTATTAGTTGTGAGCCTGGTGCTAACAACTACAGCTGCAGATTTCACCGCAAACTGCCCAGAGGAATGCAAATGCGTTTGGGCAAGCGGCAATAAGCAAGCTGACTGCTCACAATCAAACTTTCACGACATACCTAAAACGCTGAGCACGGAAATTCAAATCCTCGACCTAACTGGAAACGAACTATACGAAATCACGAGACACGCTTTCGAAGACGTACGATTAATTAACCTTAAAAAACTTATCTTAAAAGAATGTCAACTTCTAACGATACATAAAAACGGACTAAGTGGGCTCGCCATTATGATCGAGCTAGATATGTCTAAAAATAACCTGAAAACCCTACACGCCGAGACTTTTAGGGAAACCACAAAAATAAGGTGGATTTTACTCAATGACAATCAAATCGAAAAATTGGAAGATGGACTCTTCAATAATCTACAATTTTTGCAGAAAATTGACCTCAGCAACAATCACATAACCCAGATCGGAATGAAGACATTTATGTCTGTGCCGAAACTTAATATCCTAAGACTCAACAGCAATAAACTTGAACATTTGAAACTGGACACGCTCAGCGCCTTAACCTTATCAAATCTCGATGTTCACGACAATCCGTGGCGTTGCGATTGTTATCTACAGCCATTCAGAAACTGGGTGATAAGCAACAATTTTTATACCTCCCCCATCACCTGCAGCGAACCGCCCAAAGTCCACGGTAAGCTGTGGAAAGAATTGGACTCCAGAGATTTTGCTTGCCGGCCGAGCATTGTATACCCCTCAGTCACGACTACTATACAATCAGGTGACAATAACATAACTTTATCATGTCAAGTTAACGGTAACCCTATTCCCGAGGTGAACTGGGTTTTGAATGCCCAAATCATAGATGGAACTTATCGGTACCAAGGAGAAGTAAAGTACATCTTAACACAGAGTAATACAGAAAACAGCAGGTGGTTAAATTTAACAATAATCGATGCTGGAAGTACAGACAACGGAATGTATCTTTGTGTTGCAAAGAATCCTGGTGGGGTGGAAGAAAGAAATGTCACCCTATTTGTGACTCATACTGCCCCAGGTATAGTCCCACCTACTGGTATGAACAGTAATATGTTACCGGTTCTTATTGGAGTGTCATGTGCAGCTGCTATTTTACTGATCATCCTGGTCATTATATGCTATTGTTGCTGTCGGCGCCGATCTTCAGATAAAAAGAAAGCTAATAATTCTAATGGTGAAGCGCTAATCGAAGGCTCTGTAATACCTGAGATGGAGAAAAGTCTTATATCAGCTGTCAATCCTGTCACTAAACCTCCACGAAGATATGAAGTTCCACCTTCCATTACCAGTGGGGGCACGGAAATGTCTGAGCTGAATAAGACTCTACTTGATAACGACTCTGTATTTGGTAAGCATTTTTAAGTATGTCCATTTCAATTAGTTGTTTGCAGTAATATATTTATAGCTTCCTTTTAAAAAAATCTTAAAAACAAATCAACCTATCATTGTTACAAGCATGCCCAGTCTGGCAATTGTTTATAAATTTAAAAATATGCAGCAGTTACAACATGAATAATTAATTTTTAAATTCGAAACTTTATGATTTATTATGTTAACTGACTGCACTAACCAAAAATACACAGACAGACAAAATACACACAGACTAATTAACAAACTAAATAATTATTGTTGAGTGCGTTTATTCAATTAGAAAAAAAACGTATACCTTTTAACTAGGTCTATGTTGTTCTTACTAGTTTTCTTTGATTTCAGCTCACAACGATGACGAAAAACGGTCATTAGATTTTGACCACCAACGCAAGCGTTCTGAAGATGCACTGAGCGACTACGGGCGTACAGATGGACGAGCATATCCACCAGATTTGCTCTCCTTTCCTCCAAGAGCAGCACAAATATCTCCAGCTGCTAGCAATGCCTCAACTGTACCAGATACAAGTAGGCTTCAAGTGAATCCTGTCAGTCCAATACATTCTCCCATCTACGGCATGACGACTAACCAGAACATATTCAGAACGTTACCATATTCCCGGTCACAGTCACCTTTCACGGCACCCATTACTCCGCCTGTGGTTACACCTCGACAGGGCTACGTTACCATTCCTAGACGGCCTCGTGTACCCTCATGGTCCAGTACTGCAAGTACTCAAATTCTTCCAAGCGCCGAAGCGCAGGAACCTCTCTATGATAATCTCGGCTTGAGGACAACCGCAAACGGCAGTTCTGTTTTATCCCTTAACAAAACTGGATTAGAGCCACAATTTTCTCCAATGAGAAATAGACCACTGCCGGCGACCCCTACCTCCTATGCGAACACACATCCGGTTTTCTACGCACCAATAGAAGAACAAGAACCTGCTCCGTCACCAGTACCGCCGCCATTTACTCCCACGAGAAATAGTATAAGTTCACAATTATCGACCCAGCTCTCCACTCCAGGCCCTCAAGAGCCTTCCAATCCCAGGATGAGTTGGACGGCGAAAAACACATCAACTCCCCAGCCAGAACCAAGAAAACTCAGTGTGGATTCAGATACTTTGATTCGTAAGGGTAAACCAGAAACTGGCTCGTTACGAAGAAATCCAAGACCAGATAAAGAAGAGACCAGTTCGCCAACAAAAGAAGATCCAAGAAAGAATGAAAGCAGCGCGTCCTTGAATCAATCTGGAACAATGGGAAGAAGTGGAAAGATCCCACCGAGGCCTCCACCCAAACCGAAGAAGAAGCCAAGTCCAGAAGTTAATCCCAGCGAACCGTTATTTGAAGATGAGGGTGAAGACGGCACGGAGGTGTAGTGTCGGGATGCCACTCGTTGTGCCAATGAGCTTGTAGTGATAGCAACGCAGTGAAGTGTTAACAGTGAAAAGACATGACAGTTAATTTTTGAGGTGCTCGTGTATATACCTGTAGTGCTAGATTTTTTACTATTGCGTATATTACGGACCATTTTGCGAGTTTTAAATTAAGTATTGTAACTATCCACGAGTTAAGACAATTTCGAATTGTAAACCGTATCATTAAGTATTTATTTTTGTTTTGACATCGAAACGGTAGCTATTTCATCGCTTGCCACATAAGGCATATCTTGATCCATTTTAAGACTGATTATTCTAAATTGGTTGTCACATTCCGTAGTGGTTTTGTCCTTATTCCAGAGTTTTGAGCCTAACAATGCATTTAGAAATTTTAAATTAGATGTATTTTGAAGACTGAAGAGATTTTAGACGCTTTTTGGCTATTGATGCAGTCAATAGATCATTAAGCGTATTAGAGTTATATCCACATCATTTTAAATATTGTGCAGCTTTTTAGATAATATTAAAAATCATTGTACATTTCATGATAATATAAACTGGTCAATTACAAGTTCCGTTTAAGACTTGTAAATTTAAGTATTTAGATATCATTTTAGTTTACACCGAACACGTCTTCGACACATTGTTATTTTATATAGTACAACATTATTTATGAACGATTAAATAAGGAATAGTTCCTAAAGTTTTAAATATTAGGCGAGTATCATCTATAATTTTATGTACATAATTTTATATACTTTTTAATGTTAAAAATTGGTGCATTTTAGTTATTGACGTAACTTATTATTTTAGTACAATCATGAAATATTTAATAGATTATTTGACATTCATTTTGAGGGTTAAATTTAAAATTGTGATATACTTTAAGTTGATCGGGAAGCGTATTTTAATGTATTAAAAATTCCGAAAGCTAAATCTCTCCCGAAAGTTTTCTGATCAGCTTGAAAATATTTATTCATTCCTTGCAACTGTTAAACGTTATAAAAACCCTCTTCAAATGTTCAATATAATCGTCATAATCACGTATCTTGTAAAGAATATCTGCACTTCTATTCTTTTAAACCTAAACCGTCTTATTCCATCGCAGCTAAAGCAGAATTTAACAGAGACGAGTATGTATTAAAGTTGTTTTTATGAATAATAATTTCATAAAACATGTACCACAATCCCAATTTGATTCCTTAAGAATTGGTACAAAAGCGGTAAATAATTTTTTTATAACAGTTGACGCTGTCTTTTGTACAATAATTATACTTTACCTATCGTTGAGGAAACCATAACTAGGTCAGAAACAGTTCTATGTACTCAAAAATTCTGAGCAGCTTTATATGTCAATATTATATATATTTTCAGTGAATACAAGGTGATACAACCATGAAATACTTAGAAATTCCCTGTATAATTACCGCTATACAAGCCAGCATTCGAAAAAATTCATTCCAAAAATATTTTTCATGTGTTTATATATATATTATTGTGTCATATTTTTGATGAATTCATAAATAAAGTACCTAATTTAAACCTTTGCAATTGTTTTTAAAAATAAATTTTTAATGCAATTTTATATAAAATGTCAGTCGTTACACGGATATAATTAGTACTCATTTGTCTCTTTTTCTCAATTTGTGTTTATGTTTTGATGGAAAGAGACAAAACAGTTAATTTCGACTGATTTATTTTTGTTTGGGTAATTTTTCTCCAAGAAATGTTGTAAAAGTGTTGGACTTGTCAGCGCAATCTAACGTGTATCTTGTAAAAGAGTAAATACATATACCCTTATTACGTTTGTATTCTTTTATGTACAACCTATGTATCAACTTTACATTGTTTACTGAAGACATATGTTATATATAGGTAGGCTACATGTAAATAAACATTAAACTGATTAAAGCTATATTTCAGTATAAGGAGTTTTTTATTTGCTTTGCAATACTTTAAAACACAATATTATTCAGATATCTCTTGAACGATTACGTTCATTGATTATACTAATATCACTAAAATGCGCTTAATAATTTAATGATAAAACCTTTAAGGTGTGGGCCTCAGATATCTGTATCTGTTTCATGATCATTTGTCAATCTAATAGGCAAGTAGGTAATTTTTGGGTCTAGGGCAAGCAGTTTTCCTTTACCGTTCGAGCGAATGTTAAATGCGCTTATAGACAGAAAGTCAATTGGTACAACCCCGGGGAACGAACCTACGATCTCAAGGATAAGTTAAAGCTGAAGCCACTAGGCCAACACTGCTCACTTATAGTGAATTACTTAAATGAACAGAATAGGTAAGTTCTGTCTATGAATTGCACAAAACTCAATCAATAATAAGTGTAATATTTCGTCATTTATCGAAATATTATTAAGTTAAAAAGGACAAAGAAACACCCACAACTTCCTTTAGTCGGATAAAAAGGCAATCGCAACCTTAAACATAATGTCTATATTGAAATTCGTAAATCCCTTAGCAACAACGTGCTGACGTGTAAATTACGTGCGATTCCCGTGACCTCCACCAACCTATAAACCTGTGATTTTATTACTCACCAATACGTCGTAAATATTAACCTTAGGGCTGTCAAGTACTATATTTTAGTTGACAGGAAAAGTTATTTCAGTATTAACTAATGTGTGAAAAACTTTCGTATTTTTATTTAGACATAGACAACATTTATTACTAACAAAACACCCACACATAACAATAAAATAAATCAGTGGCGCTACAACCTCTTGTTTCAAGTGTGTAATGCGTGTGTGCTGTTTTTGTTATTGGCCCTGGCTCAGCATTATGCTGAGGAGCAGACTGTTCCACAACGCTGGTCATTCTGCCAGAGACCACAACATAAGGCAAAGGCAAGCAAGTATGTTACATCCATATAAATGTCCCCCGGCCTCGAAATACATATAAAACTGCCGAACGGATGTATGTACAGTTTTCACGAACAAATAAGTTGATTTATTATGGTTTAAGGTAAATGGTCTGTAATGAAACAATTACTGTTATAGCAAAAATCCGTACGTAGACCAAGCAGGCGAAAACTGGCAATAATATAAAGTAGGTATTCTTGCAGCAATTACAGCGAGTTCAAAGTAAGTTCAAACGTCTATTTAAGGTTTAGAAATCATAAGGGATCTACACATATAGTCATTATTTATCTAAAGAATTATGAAGCTACGAAGTATGTCCAATTAGGCAACATCTGTTGTAAGGAAGGACTTAGTGGCTTAAGTAACATTAACGCTTCATTAATGAGTCTGAGTACCGCCATTACTCTTTCCTTTATAATGTAAAGAAATACGTATAAAATCCTCTTGAAATATATAACGTATAATTATGCTGCCAGCATTAAAAGTACACTACCACAGGGACTAAATTGCACGCCTCGCAGTGCTCTACTCTCGACATGTCAAAAAACCCAGTCTTTCGAAACTTGAATGACTTTTTTCTCACTAATATAACACTTACAGGATTAAGCTGCGTATAAATTAAGCGCGGCAGCCGCGCGAGCCAATGTTCGACCAGAGTTGACGTTCATTTGCCGCGCGAGCCAATATGTAGATATAAATATAGTTGGACGTGACTGCCGCGCGCGGCAGGCGATCCATGACGAACAGCGGCGGATAGTCAGACCAGTTCACTCTTGTAAACCTGCGAGTATGGACGCGCGTCGCGCCAAAGTTCGATGGTTTGCCGCGCTTAATTTATACGCAGCTTTATACGAGTGCACTAAAATCGAGTTAAATAATCTATCAAGCACATATGGTAGTTTTTATGAACAATTATTTTGTTTAACATAGTAAATAATAACATTAAAATCAATCATTCTTGGACGTCCGTCGGTCTGTGTTTATGGATCCATGTATGTGGCAGAGAAATTGGTCGAAAAATTTATCGTACCAGAATACTTTTTCCTTATTATATAAAGTTATATCCTGGGCTGATTCCTAGTTAATATTAGCGTTCTAAGTACTGTCGTTTAATTATAATTTGTAAAAAACTAAAATACGAATTTTAGTATATTTTTTCCTCGCCTTAGAGTTATGGCGCCACTATATATTTTTTTATTGTATTAAGTAAGTAGTAAGAAGTAAAAATAAAAAAATAAAAAATGTAAACGAATGATTTTTTTTTTAAATGTGAATGACCGCTATGAGGCGTGCACTTTTGGATTTTCCAAACTATTTTTTAAATTTGTTCCAATTTTTAATTATTAATATTACTATTTAGTTTAAGAATGTGTTTGTGTGTTGGAATTAAATGTATGTGACTTATAAATTTATTAATATGATTTATTTTATTCTTACGCTATGGTATTCAATGCGCATTTTCTCCACAACTCTGCTGCTATTACGCGATCTATGGTTCTAGATTGATACATTTTATGACAAGGCCTTCATACAAAAGTCGTAAACAGACAATTTATTGTTTTTTAGTACGCAATCCTGGGTCGTAAATTGGGAAATGTGATAGGAATTTCAAGATATGGCAAAAAAAGCATTTCTTAAGGCAGTTTTTGCCGTGCACGAAGTATTTCCGAACCAATTCTACTTATGGTCCTTCAAGAAAAGAGCGTACCGATTCTAAAAAAGGCCGGCAACGCACCCGCGAGCCACCTAGCATTGAGTGTCCATGGGCGGCGGTATTACTTAACATCAGATGAGCCCTGCCCCCCCCTTTGCCCCCTGTTCTTTAAAAAAACCATGAAAGTTTATAGGTCGTCGCTATTGTCTCACGCGCTACCAGCAGACAACTTAATAATCTCGGCACCACGGCTGTCTGCAAGTAGACCAAGAAAGATTATTTAATTTATATTTTAAAAACTTTTCAAATTGGTTACCATACATAGGTATTTATTATGTAAAATATATATTACATAATATGTATTTTATATATTCGCGACGCGCACCGGCGCTGGACGGACGATATCTCCGCCGTCGCCGGGGTCTCCTGGCCTTGTCTGGCCACGAGTGGAACCGAATGGA